CCTTCGTTTCATTTTCCAGTGAAGGGCGTTCCGTGGATTTTCCATAGGCCTCATTGCACAGCCGTTTGCCCTCTTGTCCGCAAGACTCATGCTATTTTGTAAACAAACTACCCCAAGAGTGTGTTGGGTTCTCTGGGAATAGCCAGGGCCTGGATTTCAACTGGCGTTAAGCATGGCCACCCTGGAATCAGCAGATCCCTGGATTCCAAAATGGCAGTGCGCCCGCTCTGCCTTCTTTCTAGGAAGGGTTAAGCCTGCATGCAAGAGCTCCGGCCACCGTGCAGTTATGTGCTGATTTAACAAGTTTAACAAGGGGGCCAGCGAGATGGCTCAGTGGGTAAAGGTGCTTGCCGCCAAACCTGACAGTCTGAGTCATATCCTCAGTGCTCACTGGAAGGAGAGAACTGACTCCTGCAGGTTGACCTCTGACCTCCACAGGCTTGCTGTGGACACTCAGGCATGAACGAAGGCAGGCACCCACGCATGCACGCACACACGGACGTAAATGAACAGGTAAGCACAGGGGACTGGGATTTTGAAAACTTTGAAGATGTGGAAGCCCTTCAGGGAGGCGATGGCGGCCAGCTGTGCGCTCATTTTGATTATCTTTATTGGCTCCTGCTAGAACTGGGAGGAACTGAGAGGCACAGCTGAGCACTGGCAGCGTGGGTTATTTGGACTCACCCCGGAGCAGCAGGGCATGCTGGAGGTGTCTGTTTCGGTAACCGTGTGCCTTTTTTATGTGTGAGTTTCCATCTCTCCTTACTGTTCAAGGCTCCCTGCACCATCCCATGCCGGGGACAGTGAGAGTCTGACCCCTCGTTCTGAGGGCTGACCATGCTGGACATAGCTCCGGGCTCCAGCATCGTGTGTCGGGGTGAAGGCGTTATGCTCTTTTTGTCAAGCATAGTATTTTCCTTTTTTTTTTTTTTTTTTAATTGAAATGTGCTTACAGTGGAGTCTTCAGAGTTCTTTGGGGAGTCCACATGCAAGGCCTTTTCCAGACATGTGGCTTTCGGGCATTTTTTCTCCAAATCTTTTGCACCTTTCAAGCCCAAGCTGTACTGTGCACCCAGGTGCGCTCTGCCGTGTTTTTCTTGTACAGATGGGAGGGCTGTCAGTGGCCTTGGCTGACCTCAGAGCTGCAGGGCCCTTCTTCTTTGTTCTCTCTATCATCTGAAGAATTGCGTTCTTCCTGGGGTCTGTGACTCTCGTGGGGGTCCCTGTAGTCCAGGCTGAGCAGTCGGCACAGTGTCTGAGGTCCCGTCAGGAGTCCTTCAGGAGCCTTCTCTCTGCGTTGAGTTGTGGCTTGTTTTAAAAGCTCCTGGCTTCGTCCTTCCACATATTGCCCTCTGCACACCTCGTGGAGGGCTGGAGTTGAATATGTCCCCAGGTCGCCCCAGCCTCTACCTTGGTTGCCTGCGTTCTTTCACATACATGTTAGAGTGTGTTGATTGACTTCTTACAAATTTCCTGCACCGGGATCACGCCGAGTCAAAGGCTGACTTAATTCTTGCCATCCATGGGCGTGGTGTTTCTCATCACATACTTGTATTTTCTTGATTTCATTCAGCCTAGAGGTCGTACACGTGTGTGGTTAAACTTGTCCCTGATGCCGCGCCGTATGTTGTTGCGGTGAAGTGTGCCACTGTGTGCCTTTCCCCGTGGTGCTGTGTGCCAGAGCAAAACCACTGAGCTAGTTTCTCTCATCCCATCACAGTGAAGTGTATTATTTATTGCTTAGTAGCTCAGTTTCTAGACAGACTCGGCTAGTTCGAGACGGTGTTTTAGGCTGTACATTCTCCACGTTGAAGCTGAAGCTTTTCTAACCTTTGACACTTTGTAGGAAAATGCAGTACAGATGATTTTATTGCCGGGGCTCTTTGTTCTACACGGCGTGATTACGGTGAGTGGTCACTGTCTGCCCTTTGGATAATTCTATTTTTGTTCTTGGGCCACCAAGTTCCTGGCGTTTGCCTGTCTGGGTGCTCCAAGCTTGCCGTGTATTCCCACAGCCGGCTTGTTTCTGTCCCATTGTCCTCTGGTCTGTACACCGTGATTCCTAGGTCCGCTGATATCTGGGCACTCATCCCAAAACGTGCAATTAAGTCTGCTGTATTTAGAAAACAATGGACTCATACAGCTGAAAAGCCTCTGGAAATTGATCTAAGACCCTTTCCTTTTTAAAGTTATAGTGTGTGTGCATGTGTGTGTGTGTGTGTGTGTGTGTGTGTGTGTGTGTGTGTGTGTGAAGGTCAGGGGACAACTTGTGGGAGTCACTTCTCTCCTTCTACCACATGGCTCCTGGGGATCAAACTCGAGTTGTCAGCTGGGTGGCAAGCTCCTTTACCCCCTGAGCCAGAAAGTCTTTTTTTGTTTGTTTGTTTGTTTGTTTTGTTATACTTTTAAACCTGAAATATGTACAAATGCCAGGGGAATGTGATGTTGGTTTGGTGAGCTTGCCCCCCCGAGTGAGGCAGGCTCAGCACACAGGCAGTGTTTCAGGGTAATTCGTACGATCCGTTCGTGGCGCTGGCACAAAGATGTTTGTCTGAGGCACCTGAGGAGACGGCAGGGCAGGGCTTGAGGGCACAGGCTCGCCCCGTGGTTCCCGAAGACGCTGGGGAGAAATGTGGAACCAGCCACCTGGAGGTGCGTCAGGGAACTCTCTGCGCGTGCGATCTTGGCTGCCTGTGGCAGCTCTTGCCCTCTCGGCGTTGGGCTAATTGCACTGGATCTTAGGAACGCTCTCCAGGTAAATAGTATTAGCATTTCCATCCTTTTATGTTTGCTCAAGGGTATAATGTACTCAAAGTTTTTTTTTTTTTTTCTTTAGTGCCAAACTTTGAGTGGTTGGGAAATTGCTCATTATGAAAGAGGTGCATATTGGGAAGCCGCACCGAGAGCATTTGTGTCTGTTATTGGCCACAGTCAACTTTTAATTGTCAGAGGCAAAAGCGTTTGGTCATTTCTCCAGCATAACAAAATATCTCCTCCTGGGACTTATATAACCTTAAATTATGTTTTCATTTTACCTACCTCCCCTATTTTGTTGTCTTTTTTTAAAATTTAAGACATAGTCTCACACTGTAGCCTAGACTAGCCTGGAATCTACTGTAAAGCCCAGGCAGGTCTAGCATTTCAGCATTGGCACTTCCATTTTGGAGGTACACTGGAGTGCTGCTCTGTGAATTATCAACGACACAACACACACACACACACACACACACACACATACACACACACACACTCCATGTCATAGAAGGAAGGGGCACCTCGGTGCAGTCTTTCTCTGCCACTCGGTGCGGCTCACACTCAATCCTCTGCTTCAGGTGGGTGTCGGCTGCCACACCTGCCTTTGGTTTCTCTCTCCTCACATGCAGGCACCCTGTATAGCTAAAAATGCAAGGACTGTTTTTCCACCAAGGTGCAAAGACCCCGGGAAATGGTTACTACCCTCCCCTCTATGCTGAACATCACATCCCACGTAATGGGTGATGCGTGGAGATACCAGTGCTCGCTCACTAAGGGGAAGTTGGTCCATCTGGTAAGAGGATAAGACAGGGAGGAGAGCAGAGATATTTGCTTGGTGTCCGCGCAGACTCATACCTAAAATATGGAGGGTGTCTTTATTACAGCTAGTTGGTCCTGAGCCTGGCCACTTGCTCTTCTATGTGCCTGTACCCAGAGGGTTCAGCCTTCATGCCCAGACAGTTTACCCACTCTTTTATTGGGGTGTTTCTATTTTTTAAAATTAACTTAAAAGAGTTTCATCTGGCAGACAGTTCAGCGGCTTGGGCTTTAAGAGTGCTCACTGCTCTTTTAGAGGCCAGGGGCATCCAGATCCCCTGGATCACATCCCCAGGGGCAGCTCACAATCATGTTCAACTCCAGCTCGGGGCTTGGCAGGCGGTTGCCTCTCTTTACTGGCCAAGCATCTTCGTGGCCCCCAGTGTGATTGGCTGGGTCAGGCTTGACTACTGTGAGGCTTCTGCCGGAAGCTTTCGAAGGACGGGAGACTTCAGAGCTGTGAAATTAGAGTGGCAGGCGTCTCCCTGGAGGCCTCTTGGGAAAGCCTGTGGGAAGGGATGCTCTCTCCTGGGCTGGAGGTGCTCAGTGCAGTTGAGTAAGATAAGGCTTGCGGAGGAAGCTTGAGGGTCTCAGCTTGGCTGCCCAGCACCCACCTGAAAAAACACGTGTTGTTTGCCCTCACCTCTGCCTCTGGGCTGCAGAGACAGGCAGATTCCAGAGTTCACCAGGAGACACCAGCAAGGGCACCTGGCCCGAACATGTGCGCACACCCTTCTGCGTGCTCACCTTTGAGCAGTCACGCACAGACAGGGACACACGCTCCCATGTGGACTCTACCATGGTACTCGTCTCACCCAGGGCAGACCTCAGAGCGAAGGTGGCCCTCAGAACATCGGAGGGAATAAAGAGTCTTGGAACTGAATGTGTTTGCGTGGGGGTGGGGGGTGGGGAGTTGGGCATGAGTTTGACTTGCTTCAGTTGGTCCTGGTGTCCTGAGCAAAGGATTCCCTGAGAGTGGGCAGCTTGTTGTGGCCTGTGTGTTTGCTGTGATGTGAGGTAGTGAGCGAGGCTGGAGGGAAGGGCCTTGTAAGTTCCACCAGCTTCAGGCGTCCAGCCCTGTTTCCACAGGTATCCTGTGGTGGTCACAGGAACCCTCCGTGCTCCGTTGTCTCTGCCCTCTTTGACTGCCGCTTGCTATAGTGACCTGGGTCCTCAGGGGCGGTGACAGATGTTCATTTATGCAATGGGAGGGGCCACAAGCAGAGAAGAAATGGCAAGACAGATGTGGGTGCGTTATATCATCTGGGGTCCATCCCATCAAGGGGTCCTTGTCCTCTTCAGTTCCTCGCCATTTTTCTTCTAAAGTAGGAGCAGAAGAGGCTGAGCTACAAACACGTTATTTCAATGAAGCCCTGTGGGATACAACTGCCTCCTTTCCTGGCCTGAAGTTTTTCCTTCTTTCCCTTTAGGCTTCTTGCTTTTTAAGGACTTCTGTCTGAATGAAATCGACGAAGCAGTGCCACAGGTGAAGTTTTATGAAGAGGTAAGAGTCAGCTAGTCTTGTGCAACTCCTTTACAGAGTGTGTTCAGCTGAGCACTGGAGAAACCTTAAATGCCTTACGTAATTCGGAAGTTGATTAGCAGTGATGGCCACGCCCATGAGCCAGGGCTGATGTCCACCTCAAGCTCTAGATCAGTGGGTAGCAATCCCTTTGGGGTCAAACAACCCTTTCACAGGAGCCCCACATCAGCTATCCTGCATGCCAGATATTTACATTATGGTGCATAATAGTATCAAAATTACAGTTACTGAAGTAGCAGCAGAATAATTTTTTTTAATGGTGGGGATGGAGGGCGTCACCACAATGTGAAAAATTGTCCTAAAGGGTCCCAGCGTTAGGAAGGTTGAGAAGCACTGCCCTAGAGGCTTTGGAGTACAATTGAGGAAGAGTGCAGCAGAAAGTGATTTCTGTTGTTGCTCTTCTCCCTGTACTTCAAAGCTCTGTGGTCAGGCTCACACGTATCATTGGTCTGTCAATGTGTGAAGTGCCTTGTCTGTCATCTGAACCCTTCTTTGTCCCAAACTGTCTTCTTTCTGCCTGTGCTGTGGCCACAGTCACACCCTCCTATGGTTCTGGGTTGTCTCTTTCAGGCTTGCTTATTTACAGTGTTTGTTTGCAGGGAAAGAGTTGCTATTCACCTCCATTCGGGAAACATCTGCTTTCCAGTGAGTGGTTGTAGATTCATGTTCATTTTTTGCAGTTTTCTGATATTGCCCAACCTGTATATTTGCATCTTTAACCAAACCTGAAGCAATTAGGATGGTTATTGTTTTAGAGTATGTACTATCCTCTCTTCCTGGACTCTGGCCATTTTTCATGATCGATGGATCATCTTGTTGGCCCCAACACTGTGCTCATTTTTTTTTTCTTTTCAATATTTTCCTTTTCCCTTCTAGAAATTGAATATGTCTTTGGTCTGTCTTCAAACCCACAGCCCCTTTGTCTCCGCTTCTGCAGCCTGCTCTCCCATCCATTCCCAGAACAGTTTATTTCAGATCCTATATTTTCACTTTTGACATTTCCAGTTTTTTTTTTTTTTCCTGAGGTTTTGTTTTCATTTCTTTTGCTGTGACAAGAAACTGAGGGGAGGAAGGGATTATTCTGCTTAAAATCCCGGATTGCAGTCTGTCACTGAAGTCAGGGCAGGAGTTTGAGGAAGGCTGTGACACAGTCAAGAGCAGAAAGAACCTGATGACTCTGTCCCTGGCTGGCTTGCTCTAGGCTAGCTTTCTCCTCTGGAGCTGTTCAGGACCCTCTTCTTCACCTAGGGAACAGTGCTGCCCACAGTGGGTGGAGCCTTTTCACATCACATCCATTATCAAGCCAGTGTTCCCCAGACTTGCCCATAGGCCACCGGCTGTAGAGAATTCCTCAGCATCCCTGCCTTCCCCTTCTGGGGTGACTCTAGGTCCTGGCACGTTGACAGGAAAACTAAGCACCGTGGTCGTTTTCTTCTGCCGCCGCCTGTCAGCTTCCTTCATTACACAGGTGTGCTCTGTTACCATGAATCATAATTGCTGATGTTCAGTCCTTGCCTCCTAATTCCAACCCTGCTCTGTTTGGACTGGATCTCACCGGTGGCCTGCATTTCCCTGTGGGGACCCATCTTCTCAGGTGAACAGCAAAAGGACATACGTACACCAGTGGGATTGACAATTGAAGATGCTGTAACCCCACCCTCCAACCCCGCAGAGGGTGTGGGGTGTTTGGCGTCAGCAGAAGCCGAAGTGGGCTCTCCCATGCCCCTGTGATGAGCCATCTCTGTGTCTTGTCCAGCACCTCTGCACTCTGGGCCACTGAGGTTGTTGGCCACACCCAGATGCCCATATGTCATCAGGCGCCCAGCACATTTGAGAGAACATCTATGTGGGATTTTGTCCCTTCTCCATTATCCATGCCTGTTAGGTCACTCTCCATTGCCTCTGTAATCATGCTTTCATGATTGACAGCCACGGTCTTGGGAGGATCATTCTGTCCTAAGCCTGTTGTCTGGGTTTGTGATGAAGTTATAATGAAGCACAAGTGTGAAGGACTGATGGGCTAGACACGAAGGTGCATCATTAGGCAAAGGGTGGAGTCACCGCTGACCCTCATTCGAGCTTGGCTTTGTGATAAAGCAAACAAGGATGGGACATGGTAGCTGTGATCCATTACAAATAGAAAGGGCTCCTTTCGAGGAACTCAAATGGACAGGCTTTGTAGATACTCAGAGGGAAAGGTCAAAGGTGCAGTGATTGTTGCTGGTGTCTCGGGGCTTGATAGTTTTCCAGAAGGCCTGTATGGCTAGGGGCCAAAGCCTTACAGAAAGTCCAGGGCTCTGAAGACAATGGGAGACTGAGAGGAGTTGGGGCAAAGCCCTGGAGGTGAAAACTTAGTTCCCAGAAAGGTGCAGCTGGGGCAGAGACATGTTCAGTCATGTGTGGCCAAGCAGAGAGCGACTGCACGCTGGGGGCACACTGTCACCTCTGTTCCTCAGCATGGAGACGGGTCACCTCAAATGTGGACGCACTCACCTGAGTGTGTGCTCAGGAAGTCCTTCGGCCAGCTGATGCATGGCTGACTGTCTGCTCTTTCATTGGCGAGCCTTCTGAGAGAAAGTGAGATGCGGGTTTCAGCGCCAGGTCCTGCGCTCCATCTACACTGTCTATGTTCACACGTGGTTAATCACATGTGGTCCCGGAGCATGGACGTAGTGTTGTGCCTCATTTGTTTCACAAAGCCAGGACGGTCTGTGTGTGGCTGCAGGAGACAGACAAATCATGGAAACTTCCAGGGGATGAGCATCTGACTCACCAGATGCCATTCTGCCCCATGGGTCCCTGCGCTCGCATCCCTTTATGGCTGAGTTCGGGAGATTAGTTCTGGGATAGTGCGCTTTAGCTGGAGGTTGTTGCATGCCAAGGGACCAACTCTGGCCTCTGGTTGGGCTGCATCTGTTCTAGCATCCAGGCCTTCTGGGCGTTAACCCCTGACTATTCCAAGACCAAAATACAATCAGAGGAATCAGCCAAGGCCCACTCCTTTCCTTTCTGATGGCTTGGATGCACTGTGCCTGACTTTGGTGGCCTTGCCATGGTATCTGGGCAGCTGCTTTGTGGTTGATTTTCAGCTGGGAAGAACCCATCCCTAGCTCAGAAGTCCATGCATTAAAATGCTCAGGGTCATCATGAAGGGAAAGCCATTTGTCTTTCTAGCCGGGTCTAACTTGCTGCCACCTCATTATCCCCTCACACAAAGCAGTCAGTTTTAGGGGAATTGCCTCCTCAGTAATTTGTTTTATCTCGTGGGGGAAGGGTTCCTGCCTGGGTCAGCTGTGGTCCTAAATAAAGCTGGTTTTTAGGAAGCCCTGAGCTAATGTTGACAACCTCCGGAAATATAGATAAAAGAATACGAGAAACTGGACAACGAAGAGGACCGGCTGCGCCGGAGCCGGCAGATGTACGACGCCTACATCATGAGGGAGCTCCTATCCTGCACGCACGTGAGTGTCCCACCCTGATCCCCAGGCAGTACCATATGGGGGTCATGCTGCCCGTAATGATGATGGTGGTGAAGATGGTAGTGGTGGTGGTGGTGATGGTGGTGGTGGTGATGAGGATGGTGATGATGATGGTGGTGGTGGTGATGGTGGTGGTGGTGGTGGTGATGATGGTGGTGGTGATGAGGATGGTGATGATGGTGGTGGGGATGGGGATGGTGATGAGGATGATGATGATGATGATGATGAGATGATGATTAGTGTCCCTGTATCATTTAGGAGTCTAGACTTGAACCCAGGGCCTTATGCTTACTAGGCAAATACCACCGAGCCTTGTCCCTAGCCCTGCCTTATTGGCTTTAATGTAGCTATACTTTAACAATTAGGTGAATCAGAATTCAATTAATGTAAATCTTCAATGATGTCTTGGAGTTAATCAGGATTATAATTATTATGCTAATTTTATTCATTAATGGTTAAGTTAATTTTATTCATGAATAGTTAAGTAATGGTAGAAATTATTGTCTTCCTCAGAAGTCAGATAAACAATCTAATTGGGATAAACTAGGTTCTCAAGAAGTAACCCAGAAGTAAGTGGATGAATTAGCAAAGCAGAAATTGCCACGCAGACGCCTCTGTACCAATGCAGGCCCCTTTTCCAAGGGCACACAGTCTCTGCCTGCTGTGTCCGGGGCTGTGGCCACCAGCCACGTGTAAACTGCTTGAGCTTATTTAAAGCGATCAAAGTTAGGTGAAGTCACTTGTGGGCTCTCCATGAGCTGTGTGTCAAGTGTGGCCAGAGGCTCCCGGGTGTGACAACCCAAAGGCACAGCATTGCACCATGCCAGGAAGGCTGACTGGATGCCCCCCGCCCCATGTGCCTTAGAGCTTAGGGTGTGGTTACGGTCCTCAGGGATGTCTGAGTGGCTGTGGCACCATCTGGCCTCCCTCAAAGCTCCTGTGGCTTCACTGTGCTGTAGAGGGAATTGCAGCCAGGCGGATGCTCACAGCTCTGTGCCTTGGCTGGGCATGCCTGAGCCCTGGAGGACACATGCCCTACCACAGAGCCTGTGTGAACTTTGCTTTCCTCAGCTCAGCCCCTAGGGGGACTTTGGCAGGGTGGTGGGTTTTATTCAAAGGACTTGTGATTATCCTCCGGATTAGGGGAGATTTGTGTTCAAGAGTTAGAGGTGATGCCCTGAGAACCCTGGGCATCCCATAATGCTTCACTGTTTCCATCCTGAACAGTAGAAAGGCGTAACCCAAGACTGGGAAAGCTGGCCTCTCCGTTCTGTGTGTGTTTGTTGCTGTTTAGACTAACCGGCTTCTCCCCTGGGGACCTTTCCAGCCCGGGTTGTCAGTAAAGGTGACCATGGTAATGAGGACAGTGTCTCGGATGTTTTCTGTGAACTGTAAGAGATGTAGGAATCTTATTAACCAGTGGGAACCACTTTGAATGAAGGATACTACACTGAAAGGTTTCTGGAAGATACAGTTTGCAACCCACATCAATGGAAGTTCCTTCCGGTTTGCCCCAGCTGCCCTCGGCTGGGGCTGCAGTGAGACCTCTAGAGCTGTCTGCCTCTATGTCCTGGCTTGTAATCCTTGTGCTGAATTCCTCGATCCATGCCCCTGCATCCATTTTCTCTGACATAGCAGATAACTTACATCTGTAGAAGGGTCATCAAGGAAAGAAGGGGTTAGGTGTGTCATCAAGCAGTGACTGTAGGGTTCCTCAGACTTTGTTGCCATGGTAATCTTGACCTGCAGAGGGATCTATTCTGGGCACCCAAGGCAGGAGCCTATATACCCAGAGGACAGTATGTGCTTGGATTGTCTCCAGAGAGCCCACAGGTTCCTCTTACGGGATCAGTGTGTCAAACCAAACCGTCTGTTGTAATGTGTGAATTGTGGATACGACACCTCCTTATTTATTTATTTTTTTTTTAAAAATGCCATCTTCTTTCTTCCTTTTTCTTTTCTTTTTTAAGCAATTCTCCAAGCAAGCTGTGGAGCATGTGCAGCGCCATCTCTCCAAGAGACAGGTGACAGCTACTCTTTTTCAGGTGAGATGAGAGGGTTTCCAAACAAGACGCCCTGACCCGCCACCCTATCAGACCCTGGTAACATTTTCTCAGCTCGTCAGACACACGGATGTGTACAGCTGTCTGCTCAGAGCACGCCGGTCCCCTGGCTGGGACCTGATGCAGAGCCGACAGGCCTCACGGACATTCCTGGAAAGGGGCCCCTGCAGGCTTCTTGTAATGGCATGCACGCTCTGAAAATCCGTTGAGCTAAGACAGAGGCGAGCCTTCCTCTGTTTGGCATTCGGCATCTGATAAGGGGGCGGTGACGTGGCTCTTGGTGCTTATCTTCTGGATTGAGTGAGATTTGATTTACGTCCCAGAGTTAGAGGCAATGCTCTGAGGGCCCTGAGGGTCGCATGCCATTTGGTTGCTTCTGTAACCGAACACGACAAAGATTTAAACTGAGAGTAGGAAAACCGGCCTCTCTGCCGACAGGCCTGTGTACATTTGCTGCCATTTAGGCCGACAGCTTCTCCTCAGAGCTTTTTTCAGCGTAGGTTTCTCTGTATAGGAGGCCGTGGTGGTAGGGACAGTCAGAGTCCCAGGTAGGTAGCCTAGGTTCATTAGTGATAAGAAATGAAGGAATCATGTCAGTTGATTCGTTTTCAAAAGTGAAGTGAATTAATCCGTCCTTTGTTGGATTACCAGGTTATTTACAGTGACATACACTGGTGAAGCCCAGGCTTGGTGAGGGGCCTGGCTGGAAGGTGACTGAAAGGGGCTAGGCCCTGTGCTCTGCTGGCAATATTCTTAAATTTCATCCATTCTGTTGCCGTTTACCCCAAGTGAGCGTCCCCTTTCATCCCCTCTGCTGCTGAACGCTGGTTTCGTCTTCCTTTGCTGGTGCGTGGGGTGGTTCTGTGGTGGCCCCAACAAAAGCCACCTAGGGATAGGCGTGATCGCCTGGGCTCACGATCCTCAGGGACACGGCCATCGTGGTGGGGAAGGGGTCCACAGTCAGGAAGCAGAGAGGGACAGGAGCAGCCGCTCAGGCGACAGTGTTCCCGGCATCTTCCGTCACAGAACTGCCGGGAGGTCTGTCTCCGAGGCGATTCTGGCTCCTGGCAGGCTGGCAACCAGGAGCTGCTGGCGCAGGTTTGCTGTGCGGCCAGGTGGTAGCTAAGGAGTCTGCGCCCCGATTAACAGGAAGAGTGGAGTGTTCAGTGCAGCAGAAACACAGACTGTGGACGAGCACCCCTGTTCCCCGAGGAGAAGGTCTGTTTGAGGAAGATGGGCACCTCACTGCTGAGCCTCACCGGAGCCCTCTGCTGCCAGGGCACTGCTGCCTCTGCGGCCACCCTTCCCCGACGTCCTCTGTTTATTTCCCCGTTATGCAGCACATCAAGCCTAGCAAGATATTTCCCCCCAAAGATCTAATGGACTCTGGTGAACTCTGAAGCGTGGCCAGCTGCCAGCCTCTTGTTCTCAGCTGGAGCGTGTGGACCAGAAAGCGAGGCTGCTTGTTCAGAACCATGGGGCAGAGCTGAGGCAGACAGTGGTCGATCCCATGTGAGGGACCTGGAGCCATCAGCACCTCCCCAGGGTCCCTGTTAGAGGCCCTGACCATACAAGCTCCACCCCACAGCCTCCTTTCCCTTCTCCTGAGTACCTCTAGCTCAGAGTCCAAGAAGTATAACATTAAGAACACGGCCAATTAGGACGATTAACTGTGGCTTTATCAGCTTCCGGTCTTCAAAACTCAATCCACGTGGAAAAGGCTCATAGCAAGGCATGCTGGGAAAGTGACTCACAGTGCCTAGTATCAGATAAAAACATGTGACCCCCCCCCACGCTTTTTCAGAAGTTAGTCAGAATTCCAAGATGGTGACCGAGGGTCACATGGCTAACTAAGCCCTTTACGTGGCTCACGAAGCCAACTCCGATCACCGAGGAGGTGTGTGCAGGTCATGAAGAGCCGTCCCTGGCAGCGTGGACCATAGTCGGAGGTTGCTGAGATAGTAACCCCGAGATGAGCCTGGGACATCACGATGAGGGGGACAGCAAGACAGACAAGCGCAGGGGCGGCACCCCACAGGAAGCACGGTGGCCCACCCCAGACCCAAGTCCAGCGGCGACTGCCTTTCCTCTGGTTCAGTCTCACTTACACGATGTCCTTTCCTCTTCATTCCTTCCAGCCGTACATAGAAGAAATCTGTGAAAGCCTTCGAGGGGAGATTTTCCAAAAGTTCATAGAAAGGTATGCCGCTGGGTGTGTGCGGGGTGCGTGGCGCTCTTCCGGTGTGTGCCGCCACAGGCCCTTAGTGGCCACGGCTCGTGGCCAGCCTTCTGCCTGCTTGAATGCTTTATGTTGCAGTTCTGGGGTCTGTTTAGCGAGGTGGCTGTGTTTTGCCTGATTCCCACCTTAGGATCTCGAGGCGTGTCTGAAAAAGCAGGGAAGCCTGGGAAAGGATGGGCAGTGTGCCCACAGGCATCCTCTGCCCATGTAACGAGCTACAGAGCAGACTGTCGTGTGCCACTCCTGAGCTGTCTATGCGTGCGCCTCACTGTCCGTCTCCGGGGCTCCGAGCCTCCGGGAGGGGACAGTCCCCTGTGTGTTTTCATTCTACTGGAGTCAAGAGATAATTTGTTCCGGTGTGTGTTCAGTAGCTTGGGGGCAGATGTCCATGTGCTGTGATCCTAGACCTCTGACCCTGGCACCGGCAGAAACTTCTGGGAGGAGGTTCAGTGAAGGAATGCAGGCTGGGAGTGGAGCTGTGGCCTCATTCTGGGCCAGCCCCATTACCTCGATTTCCCAAATCTGCTTCCCCTGTCCTGAGACCATCTTTCTCTTGTGTGACCAGGTTTCGCTTGCTCTTTGGCCAGCTTTGGGCCTGGTCTGTCCTTACCTCAAGCGTTGGTGATCCCTCATCATGGGGTGCCAGGGTTGTGACTTTGATTGTAAGCAACACACACACACACACACACACACACTTTCTCTCTCTCACTCGCACGTGCATGTACCAGCATTCCTAAACACATTTTAAAGCAGTTCTAGTTTTAGGTAAATAAATTGCCTTCAGAATCAACTTGCTGATTTTTAACATTTTAGTTTGTTTTATGCCAGTGCATTGTGAAATTAGAAAAAAAAAAAAAAAAAAAAGCACACCACGTTGTGAGTGTGAGTGCAGGCAGGTGGGTGGGTGTGCTGAGGGACCTGAGGGATTTTCTGTGCGCTCTGCCATTTGTTGGGAGGAGGGAGAGACCTTAGTAGCCTGGTGCTGGGTGCCCAACTGACTCCATGAACCTCTCGTGTTGAGCAGCACAGCCAGTGACTATGGGAGTGGCAGCAGGTGGGCCTGAGCCCCTCCCCCATCCGGGTTTCACCCTCTTCACGCTCTGAACCTCCTGAGGTCCTTGGGCCCTGGCTGCCCTAGAGATTTGCCCTCTGCCCCAGGTGTTAACGAGGAACTGTGCCCAGGTGACCCTGCTGCAGAGACCCCATTGCACGCCCAGGGGACAGCTGTGTCCTCTAAAGAGGAATTTGTCATAGCAAGTTCACGCATAGTAGGCAAAGGGTGCAGGGCCCCTGAGCTGGCCAGATTGCTAAGGCGCGTTGTAAATGTATCAGATCCTGTCACACCCGGACTCTGAGAAGGCCGATGCTTCTGCAGGAAGCCGTAACATGGCTGAAGCGTGAGTGACTTTAAACTTAGCCCTGTATGGGTGTGAGGAGAACCAGCGGGAGTCTCTCTAAAGGTCATTTCATGTTCAAGGGGAAAGTTGCTGTGTGCTGGCAAGGGCTGCTGGGATTTGGGCCATTGGCATTGGAAGCCTTTCATTCACGGCGCGCTTCGTGATCCCTGGGGTGCTGTGGCAGTTGGCATCTTAAGCTTTCTCCTAGGATGCCGGTACCTGTGACTTCACAAGAACCTCCTCCCCGCTTCATTCACAGAATCGTGAATTCTGTGCCTTTATGAGGAATCGGTCAGGGGCTAGGTGAGATGCGCTCTCACTTCAGGTCCTCCTCATCCCTCCGCCTTTCCTTCTTTGCTTTCTCTACCCTTTCTCCATCCTAGCTCTAGGGTTGGACCCAGGGCCCTATACCTGTCAGACATTCTACCATACCCTGTGATAGCCCAGCAGACACCCTGCATTTCCTCTCAGTAATAACACCACCACATAAACAATAATGAAGAAACAAAACTTAGTAGTGTCTGTGTTTAGAAGAGACTGTATGAATGAGGACAGCGCTTGGCAGGCAGTGGGGAAGGCATCTGTGGTGCCAGTGTGACGTGAAGGCCTCTCTGCCGCACCCCACAGGTCTTTGAGAAGCTTGGGGGCCTGTTGGTCTGGGTCCACATGCTCAGCCACATACGACCTTTGCCCAGTTTCATTGGATGGCGGTCATAAAATGGGGTCAGGACGCCCCGGTTCACAGAGCCGTAGAAAGGAATCGATGAGGCGTGTGGATTGGGCACGCGGTGGACACAGGCTCTGTTTGCCATTCTTAGAATTATTTGTGTACATTGGGCACCCTTCTGGTTGCTTAGAACAGAAGGTCTAAAACAGCAGTCACGGGCCATCTGTAGCTACCAAACCCGAGAAGCGAGACGCCTCCAAACTGAACTGCCCCTTGTGTACTAAAGAAGCCCTGTCTCACAGGCCTTGGTGGAAAGAAAGGCAAAGAAAATTGCAGCATGAGTCACCCTGATCTCAAAGTGGTACCTTTGATGCATTAGTTTACAGCAATACATTATTAAATCAAATTATACTTGTGGCCTGTGACAATTGGACAGAGACACTGAGACTTTCATTTAACCGCTGAAATGAAGCCATGAATGCTGAGTGGAAAAATGTTTATCTATCTATCTATCTATCTATCTATCTATCTATCTATCTATCCATCCATCCATCCTGAGTCCATTTAGTGCTCCCATGTACATGTGCAGGGCTGACCACTGAGGTTTGCACCTATGTGGACACTCACCCTTGAAACACACTGACCTTTACTTCGGGGAGGGACCACGAGAAACGTCCCCTGACCCGGTTGGCAGGTCAGCTGTATTGTCACTGTGTGCTGATCTTGGTTCGGGCAACACTGCTGAGGAGGCCATGCCTACGCTGGTCCTCTGGCTCTTCCAATCTTTCTGGCCCCTCTTCCAAGATTTTCCTGAGCTGCCCTGGAGGCGTGTCAGTTGTGATGTTTGCGAACGTCCCCTTGTGTGAGAGGCGACACGGCCCATCCCGAGGGGCTCTTCTGGAGCTCCAGCTAAGGGCTTATGGAACTCTTCAGTAACTAGCTATGTTCTCTCTTAGCGATAAATTCACCAGATTCTGTCAGTGGAAGAATGTGGAGTTAAACATACACGTGAGTACCATACTTCTCCGCTTTCTTTTTCTTTTCTTTCTTTCTTTCTTTCTTTCTTTCTTTCTTTCTTTCTTTCTTTCTTTCTTTCTTTCTTTTTTTTTTTTTAATGGAAACTTCCTCTGCCCTAATGTCGTGAGAAAATGCTTTGTTCTGGAACACCCTTCCCAAGGGTGCACAGTACAGATGTCTGTCACAGAGCTCTGTGGATTCAAAGCCGGGCTCCCATGCTCCCTCATATTAGCAGTTGGGATCTTCACTTTCTTTTCTCATGTTTGTGCGAAAGCGCGTCTATGTGCGTAAGAAGGGCTATTTTAGGTTGGAATTGATTGACCCTTTACCAAAAATAACAGTGTCAACGCAAGCCTTCTACTTACAACGTCCGTGCAGCCTGGGCTCTTGCCACATGGCGAAGTTTCCTTCCCCTTTCTCACTGTGGATATAACAGAACGAGCGGCATTCTTCGCTAGAATAAGATTTTAGGGTTGTGTTGTTTTGCTTCCCTTTTCTTATTTTGGAATTGGCAGGAGCATGGGTTGGTATTTAGCTCAGTGGTAGAACACTGGCCTAGAAAGTACAAGGCCTCAGGTCTCAGCGTGAGGGGTAAATCTCTCTCTGTCTCTTTTCTCTCTATGTCTCGGTCTGTCTCTGTCTCTCTCTCACACACATACACACATACAGGGATATATACACAACAGATAACAGAATTGATGGGATTGCAGGCTGCCCCTGGGTGTGGTTGCTGGGGAACTCACTACCCCCTAGGCCGGTGTCAGTCATTCCGGGGAAGGACTGGTCTGTGGGTCACGTCTAGATGCGCAGTTCTGACTGCACCCTCTCCACCGCTCACATGGAGCTTCTGGAAATACGGGGTTTTGACTGGACAAAAGAATCGGTTGTGGGATGGACACGGGGATGCACGCCTGTAATCCCAGCACTCGGGGAGGAAGAGGCAGGCGGATCTCTGTGAGTTCGAGGCTAGCCTGGTCTACAAAGCGAGTCCAGGACAGCCAGAGCTACACAGAGAAACCCTGTCTTGAAAACAAACAAACAAACAAACAAACAAAAAAAGATTAAGTTGTGTTTGTGTTTTGTTTTTAAATACAGATTTGTACTTAAATCAGTGCTGATAGGAGAGGGGTTCTGTAAATCCCGCCCCTTGCATCATGTGTCCTGATGATTTAAAACAAAGAGGGAGTATAACACACAAATGCATATACACACACATACACACACAGCCATACACATACACTCATACACACATACACATATACAGAAACAAACATACACACAGGCATACATAGACACACACAGATACATGCTTGCATATACATACTCACACATACATACACAGGCATGCATATACACAGACACGGATACACAGACACACATACACACGCAGGCTTACACACACACATGGACACACACACACACACACACACACACACACACACACACACACACTCTTCTTTCCTGGCCCCTGAGCTCTGTTGATGGAGGGAGTTGGTGTGTGAACGAGGTCTCTTTCTATGGCTCTTTTTTTGTGCTCACGTGAGGAATCCTGATTCCCACGGCCTGCCTCCTAGCATTTCCAGTCAGAAGTGTATTTGTTCTGAAACAGCTGCCCTGGACATGGACTCTCTCGTCTTCCCAGCAGGACAGCGCCAAGAAGGGCCTGCCTGTCCCCAAATGCTAGGCTTCCTGACCGCTGAGGTCACGTCTCATTTTGACTAGTAATTCTACACTCACTCTGCCCCAAGGTCACGGCTTGCATAACCTAAGGTTCTCAAGAGTGGAGGGACAGTCCCCTCCCACACTGCCGCCCCACACCTGTCTCCGTGTGTTGGGCCTGGTGTGCCATGGGGTGGCAGCTGGGGGAAAAGGGCTGTTCGTGGTGACACCGCCCTGAAGTGTCTGTCCCCTTCCTGGAAGGGGAAGGGGACACAGGCTGCCTTTGCTTTACCACGACTTCGTGTAATTTCATGTCTTCGTTTGTCTTTTGCCTCCACAGCTGACCATGAACGACTTCAGTGTGCACAGGATCATTGGCCGAGGAGGGTTTGGGGAAGTTTACGGCTGCAGAAAAGCAGACACGGGGAAAATGTGAGCCTCTGCCTTGTCTCACCGGGAATTGGAGGCCTCAGCCCTAGAGAAAGAAATAGATGTTTGGATTGGTACAGTAAGCCTGGCCCTTCCCTTCTTCGGGCCACTGGGAAGCCAGCAGGAGCACATGCAGTGCCCTCGCCAGGGAGCACGTCCCAGAACTGCTACCTGCTCCCCTGTGAGCTTGGGCCAGAGACCCACGGTGCCCTCCCTCATGTAGGGCTCCTGCTGGGAGTGTCCAGGGCCTGAGGGTGCTGTCCACACCATTCCTCAGTGAACATTCCTATGAGAATCATCCTAGCAAAGGGCTCGTGACAAGAGTAGCATGTGGAATGCTCTGAAAGTCCCCGTGTTCTCAGGGTTCCACGGTGTGGTTAAGTCCCCTGCTGCCTCACACTCTGCTTTCCCGTAGGTCACGTGACAGGGTCTCACCAGGCCCCGGTTGGCCTGATACTTGCTGCACAGACCAGGCTGCCCTCAAATTCAGAGAGATTCACCTGCCTCTACCTCAAGGTGTTCAGGAACACGCTCAGCTCCCAGTGCTCCAGCTGACAAAAACCTAAGCCAGTTTTCTGAGTCCCCGACTCCGGTGCCATTTCCACACGTGACAGCCACACAAACTTTTCTGTCCTTCAGACTCTTGTAGCGAGTTAGGAATTCTCTTTCAGCTTCCCGCTGTCTCCCTGAAAATGTTGCCGAGTCCCTTCATCTGTCATTTATCGACTAGGCCAAGCGACTGGCCAGTTTCCCTATGACCTTGTCACAGGGTTCTTACAGACTATAAGCAGGCCCCTCAGTTAACCGGAAGCAGACGTGAAAGATCGTCTTATTGCTTCAAAGACCACAGGACATGTCTGAGGGCGGGAGGATCCAGTTAGGGTCTTACAGGGAGGCGTTCACAGCACGAATCCCTTCCCTACTCAGTATTTATGGGGCGGTGAGCGTATCTAGAGACACTATTATTACTATTTTTTGTTTCTGCTCTGTACTTTATCTAAGTAGCACCTCTATCCACGTGGTGAGAGAAATCCCTCTAGTACCCTGTGATTGCTTTCTGCCCATAGTGTGGGCAAAATGAAGAGAGATTTCCTGCAAGCCCCCCCCCCCCCAGGCATCCTCTTGCTTTCTTTCAACTCGGTAGAAATAGCCCACAAGTTTGGGTAGCCCGGTGTGGGCTCCCGGCTTGGATTTCACCCCCATCTTTTTTGTTCCTAGGTACGCCATGAAGTGCTTGGACAAGAAGAGGGTGAAGATGAAACAGGGGGAGACACTGGCCTTGAATGAAAGGATCATGCTGTCCCTCGTCAGCACTGGGGTGAGTAACTAGGCGGGTCCCGAGCTTCTGAGCTCTCCTCAGCTGCTTTTGCTCGCCCCAGCTGATCACAAAGCAAGCTGAAGGGGGGTGGCACAGGGTGGGCTAGCTCTGGGCAGACGCCTGGAGGGTGACACCGCTCTCTGCTCGAGGGGAGACAGTACAGTGCCTTGTCCTGCAGACCGATAGCCTCCCTCGGAGCCCCTCCCTTCTCCTGGCCTCCTTCCTGGCAGAATGTGGTACCCAGACTCCGGGAAATTATGTTGAGAAGAACACTTGAATGTGATTTTAAAATTGCCCACACGATGGAAAGCTAACCAGAGCGGGAAAGGCCGAGACCTGCCCTCCATGAGCCAGGCAGAGGGCGGGACTTCCAGTTGGATTTGTTTGTCTGGGACGGGTGTTGCCATCTAGGCCTGAGCTTCAGAGCTGGAGATTCAGGGGATGAGCTCTTGATGAGTGGGCATGAGGCCATGGGTTCAATCCCTGCACCACCACCACCTCCATCACCAAAAGCCACAGTGGCCTTTATTTGTTTGTACAGAAGCCACCAAACAAGGCAGCCCATCTAAGACAGCACTCCTTGTTAAAATCTGTGCAGGCCTGTGGTGGTCACAAGGCTGTCAGCCAGCGCTCCGAGCTCAGCAGGGGCTTGGCACCAGGGGCTTAGGATAGGGTCATACTGTGCGGCCTACCCTCACGGCTGGCAGGTTAACCCCACCTGTAATCAGAGGAGGGCTCTGAATGTCACTGTCCAGGCCGTAGGTGAGCAAGTTCTGATTGTCACCTCCAGCCGTATGTGGGGGCTCTTCTCACCGTCACAGCTATCTTTGATGCTCAGTCCTCTCTGCTTAAAGGACTTGAAAGCCTTCATGGCTAATCAAAGAACTCCTTCAGCTGGTGACGGGCCCTTGGAGAGCCGGAACGGACCTGCCCCTTCCAGTCCTTGGCTGCACTGACCCAAGCTCACCTTTCAGATCAGCCTGTTGGAGGCAAAGTGGTTTTTCCTGACCTGCTTTTACTGAATTGCAGCTGATAACGATTCTAGCGTTTCTTTTCAGAGCTTCTGAGAGCACTGTTTGCTACTGAAGCAAAATAACTGCATCATTTAGGTGAACTGTAAAATGAGAACGGGCCTCTAAATAATCCCTCCTTATGCTCGCCTGCCTTCCAACTCCGGACATTTAGACCCATTTTTAGTGAGTTATTTCAAAGCCGCGCTGGTTTCTAAGAAGTTCTATGTAGAGTGGTTTTTTGATGTTGGAACGATACAAGGCCTGATTGCGTGTGCTGTTTTACTGTTTAATTTATCCAGATGCCCGGGGGGGGGGGGGGGGGGGGAGAAATAAACTTGACCTGAAGGAAATACTTTTGAAGACAAGGTTACACCGGGCCACTACTGTGAAAGAACTAACCCTACACATGTTCAGTGTTCGGGTCCCGAACTTGAGGCTGTTTTGTCAGTGGCGACACAGGTGCTTCAGCCGGGAGAGCCACAGTAAAGTGACTTGGGATCGCCGGCATCTGGTTCTGCATGTCCTGGGCGCCACGTGGCACTCCTTCTGGTGTCAGCTTGGCCCCCGGATCAGGGATGCTTGCAGGCTCTAAGGCAACCCCAGCCTTGCTCCTTTCCTGGGCCTGTTTCACACGGTGTCAGGGATAAGATAAGCACTGTGGCGCTGGAGCTTAAAACAGAACTGTAGCCACCGGTGTCTGTACGGTTTCACTAAGGAGACTGCTGTGGGGGGAGCCAGTGCGCTCCAGACTAGTGTGTGCAGAGCGCTGGGGGCGGGTAGGGGGTAGGGGCTGGCCGCAGGTGCTGTACCGTCTCCTGTAAGTTGGTCAGATGCCCGATGAGGCCGTCTGTGTTTGCTGTTGGCACCTGTTGCTGTCAGGCTGCGGCCCTCCTGCCAGGAGACCAGGGAAGGCTCTGGCGGCAGGTGCGGCCAGGCCAGGGGGAGTAGCTTTGGGTCTCTCTGGGTTTGAATGTTAGAGTGGGACAGAGGTCGTCACAGGGATGTGGTCTGAGGCTATGAGAAACAAGTCTTGTCTAAAGGGTGCGAAAGGCTCAATTGGCTTGCTTGCTCAGAACTTGATGGTCAGACGGAGGCTGGTGAAAAAGAGTGGACAGATCCACCCGGCTGGACTTGGGTGAAGGGGAGCCTGTGCCTGGGGGAAACCACCTTATAGGGAGAACATGGGGCTTCCATCATGCCTGGCTTCCCTTCTCTTTGTGGCCTCAGGCAACTAGTTCCCTATTCAGGGCTTGGCTTCCTGGTCTTAGAATTATGGAACCAAAGTCTTCAGGAATATTTTTCTTTTCTTTTTTTTTTCTTTCTTTCTTTATTTTTTTCTTTTTCTAATTCTAAATCTTGAACTTGTTTCTTATCTCCCTAAATACACAGCCCCTTTGCAGCCTTCTCAGGGATTGTCACTAGAAGGACCACAAGCCACTGTGTTACAGAACCTCCCCTGTCAGGTCCCCTAGTGTCCTGACACCCCAGCTGGGAAAGACCCTGGCCTTGCTGAGTTTCAGGTCCGCCCACTTCTCTATTCCACTGAGTTGCCCATTAGATCACGGGAAGTGTCTGGGGAATCCCAATGAGGATGAAGAGGAAAGTGTGGACAGGACAAGATGGCATCCCCAGAAGGTCATGGGGAAATGTGAAAAAGCATGGCGGCAGTGTGTGTGTGTGTGTCTCTCTGTCTGTCCGTCCATGTGTCTGTGTGTCCGTGTGTCTGTGTTCGTTCATGTCCATGCTGGTTGGCACAAGCTAGCGTCAGTTGTGAGAATGTCTCCATAAAATCAGGCTGTAAGCAGGCAAGCTTGTGGGGCATTTTCTTACTTAGTGGCTGATGGGGAAAGGACCCAGCCATTGTGGGCGGGTGGTCCTGGTTCTATAAGAAAGCAGGCTGAGCGAGCCATGGGGAGCAAGCCAGTAAGCAGCAGCCCTCCGTGGCCTCTGCATTGGCTCCTGCCTCCAGGCTCCTGCCCTGACTCCCTTCAGTGATGAACAGTGGTGTGGAAGTGCAAGCCAAATAAATCCTCTCCCCCCCCCCAACTTAATTTTAGTCATTTGGCTTCATGACAGCAACAGTGACCTTAACTAAGACAGGGCCCCAGAAGGCCGGTGGCTCACGGGAGAATAGAGCTGTGTGCTTCATGGGCTTGAGGATGCACAACCCTTGGAATCAGCAGATTCACCATCTCAACAGAGCAGAGGACCAAGGAGGAAGCTGTCACTCATCTTGGCCTAATTTTCTCTAGGAGACTTATGGAAATGAGCCCAAGTTTGTACATCCTTGGTTTACAGCTCACGTCAACTCGAAATCATCTGCACACCCTTAACACAGAGATTTTGGAATCTGTTATTTCATGTTCTGTGTGTGTGCTTGTGTGTGGAGGTCAGAGGTCCATGTCAGGTGTTGGAATTTCCACTGTGTTTTGAGATAGGTTCTCCCTGATCTGGGGTTCAACAATTGCTCTAGGCTGGCTGGCGAGGAAGGCCCAGAGGTCCCCTCTCTCTGCCTCCACCGTGTTGAGATTGCGAGTATATGCCACTATGCTTTGCTCTTTCATGTGGGTTCTGGGGACCCAGCCTGGGTCCTCTCTCTTGTGTGGTGAGAAACTCAAAGACTGAGCATCTCCCTGACACAGAGGCTTTAAGGCAGTTACACTGGGGAAACCTCCACACTGTCTTTGGAATTTAATAATTCAGTTTCAAGGAAGCCCTTTAGTGTATGGGCAGGCCACGTTGGCAGTGACCTCAGTCTCGGGGACACGGGAAGAGCCGTGAACGGATCCTGCCATGTGTCCAGCAGAAATCTGATGAATGATGGCGGGAGATGCAGGTTTGTCAGGCGCCCGGAGTCCTGAAGTCATCCCTGGGACATGCACTCCCTGCCCAGGCCATTTCTCCCCCCAGCTCAAGGCAGCTCTCTCTGCTGGCAGCCTGACCGGCGTGCGGCTATTTCTACTTCTCTCTACCTGAGAGTGTGAGATAGCTCACGTTGCTCCCTGAGAGTGTGAGATAGTCCAAGCTTCTCCACTGACGGTCGCTCCCTATGTAGCTGAATAGCAGGGTTGGCTCCGGGAACGAATCCAGCTTGAGGTCTTCTTCTGGATACCCCTGAGCCATTTCTAGAAGGCACAGAGAAGGACACAGAACTCACATGGCAGCTAATCCAAGCGGAGCCGCTAGACAGCTCTGGAGCCGTGCCTCGGGGACTGTCTGCGTGGTGTAGAGTGGCCGGGTTGTGGTGATGCACAGCCCAGGTAATAGCTCCAAACTGCCGGCCATGGCTCAGCACCGACGTGTGAATGGTGGGTTGATGGAGAGCGTGTGGCCGTGCACGGCTGCTCAGCGCTGATGGAAAACACCGATGCCACCTGCGGCCTTCTGGGTCAGGGTTCTTATGGTCACGTGACCACCTCTCCACGTGAGTTCTTCACAGGCCTCACCCCTGTTGCTCTGTTTCGTGCTTGGGCTTAGGCCACGCTGTCGGAGCAAATTTAGCTCATAGTTATATGCATGTGGGTTTACCTGTGTGGGTGCAGGTGTCTGTATGTGCCTCTGATGTGTGCACGCGCACGCTGTGTATACATGTGTACACAGGGGTGTGCACCTTGTGTGTGGTTTTGTGTGTGTCCTTGTATGTGTCTGTATGTGTGTGCAAACCTGGGCGCATGCATGTCTGCACCTCTGTGTCCATGAACACCCATGTGCAGGCACCACGTGTGCGTTCAGGTGCATGTAGCATACGCACGTACCTGTATGTGTGTGTGCATCTTTGCTCACATGTGTGTGTATGCGTGTGTGCATATGTATCTGTGTGTACATTTGTATGTGTACATGCGTATGTGCTAGCCTGTGTGGAGGGGTGTGGGATGCTTACCCAGATGTGTGCCCGAGGAGGCCTGAGGTGGCCGCTGGCTTCCTCGGTCGCTCTGTACCTTGTTTCTTGTGACAGGGTCTCCCACTGAGCTCGTGACTCACTGACTTGGCTAGCCTGAAAGGCCAGCAGGCCCCACGAACCCTCTTCTCTCGGCCTCCCAGTACCAGCATCCCGGTGTGCGCTCAGCTGTCCTTCCCCTACCGTGGGTCTGGGGCTTCTGAGCTCAGGTTCTCAGGCTGTTGGGCCGCAGCCTTCCCGCCAGGCCACCTCCCCGTCCCAGAGGAAGCCGTCACGTCTACCTCTGTTGCTCGTGTTTCTTAAGGCCTGTCCATGCTTTTTGACTATTCAGAGTACCACACGCATTAATCAACCTGTCAGCGCTCATTTCCTTTAGGGGTCTTTGGAATTCACAGATGACTCAAGGGACACAGACTGTTTACAGACCATTTACTGTTGAGTTATCCTGTCAGTCACTCCGCAGCACGTTTTCCACCTTCAAAAGCTAATTTCATTCTTTTAACACAGATCCTAACTGCCCTCTCCTTTGGTTCCCCTCAGTTCAAAGCAGAGCTTCAAATACATAGTTGACTGGCTGGGACCCAAACTGTGGCCAGCAGAGACCAGAGGGGGCAGCTGTAGCCCTGGTGTTGCTGGTCTTTTGAAGGGCCTATGATCAGAGAGAACAGTGCCAGGGCAAATCAGGGCGAGGAAACGCCCCAAATTCATCTACTCCGATGGTGCTTTCCGTCTCTGCCTCTGTCATTAGCCGGACCTGCTGCTCTGTGGATCCTGATGTGACTTCGTGTGTCACATTCAGAGCCAAAGAGAGGGCTCAACAGGAGTCTGTGGTGATGTGTTTGGTGGCGGCATGCTTTCCGGGGTGTCTTCTCTTCCTCTCACAGGCTTGTGTTTGTCTGCTGTAGGACTGTCCCTTCATTGTCTGCATGACCTACGCCTTCCACACACCAGACAAACTCTGCTTCATCCTGGACCTGATGAACGGTAAGCAAGCCCCAGGTGTCTTGCCCAGCTCTTCCTGCTGTTCATTCTGAGCCCATGATACCTGGGCATGCTGGGCTCTGTGAGTCTGTCTCATAATTGGGCTCTCACTGTGGTCTGAGGGCATCTTTGCCCTTGGTTTTCAGTAGATTCATGTTGCCGTGATTTCTCTCACAGCTTGCCATTCTCTGCCTGGAAAGCTGGGTCTAGAAACTTCTCACAAAATAAATACTGACTGTGAAGTTTTTACCTTCTGGACTGCAGCTGGCCGGCCTCAGTTTTTAATTGGCTTATTTCCTGGTCTCAACTCTTAGGAATGAAATATCTCCCGAGAATATAGGCCAAAGATAGACACGCCTTTAGAAGCTGGCTTTCACCGGCTGATTTCTGTAGATTCTGCCTTCATTTTCTGTGCCTCCCAAGTCCTCGGGACTTTGCATTCATCTTTGAAACCATGAACAGCCACCCCCAAAAGGCACAGACACAAAATGTTCAGCCGGGAAGTGCTTTCAGTGTGAGAATGCAATCTCTGAGCACTTGGAGTATTTTTAGGAAAAGCTGAAATGAAAGATGAACCATTCAGCCATTCAGATGTTTATTTATTTATTTATTTATTTATTTATTTATTTATTTAATTTTAGTTCACTTGAAGTTTCATTATACTTTGAGTGTTTGATCTGAGCTCAGATCTAACTAACCCCAAAATAGGAAAGACAAAAGATCAGTAATGAGTCAAAGATGCCAGAGCCAACAGCACAGGCTCTATAGACCCTGTGTGTGTATGGGCTGTGCTCATGGAAGAGTGAGGGCAGAGCCGCCCCTTCCTGCCAGGGACAGGCTGGCAGAGGCCAAACTGGTCCACTGGAAAGAGCTTGGAGTCCTTTATTTAGTGCCTCGGTATGTGCATGAGGAGGAAAAAGGTGTGTGAATTCCAGGGCAGCAAAGTCAGACATGTGCCAGCCTGGGCCTTGTGGACCGTGCTTGAAGTCACACAGTTCTTTCCTTTCCCAACATTGTGTTACAGACAGTTCTGAACACATGACAGTTCTGATCAGGTGACAGTTTTATGAGGGCTCCCAGATAGCCACAGCCTGGGTCTTTGTCAGCTACACTACTCTGTTTTGAAGGCGTCAGCGTCCAATCTCCTTCCATGGGAACCAGTGTTTAGTTTTAAGGTTTTCATTTTTGGTTTCGTTTTGTTGTTTTTAACTGTTGTATATCAAGAGGTCACCAGTTTGGACTGCATAGGTGGGTTTTGTTACTGGGCAGCGTTTAAATAACCAGGTGTTCATCTGGCCGATGCTTTGTGGCGTAACTGGCAGCCAAGCTGCCAAGCCCCTAACGGTTGCTCTATCCCATCCACGAGACATGCTCTCGCCCCCATCACCTGCTTGAAGTTGTTTGCATAATGATCAACACCTTTGGCCAAATTACAGAAATCAAAGACAGACTCTGAGGCAAAAAGGAAGAGTCACACCCCCCCATCTTCTCTAGCACCCCTATTATTTAGGGCGACCTCTGTGTCCTCTCAGTGAACATCTGTGACTCGCCCTCTGGGTCTCCGGTTTCAGGGGGTGACATGCATTACCACCTCTCCCAGCACGGGGTGTTTTCCGAGAAGGAGATGCGCTTTTATGCCAGCGAGATCATCCTGGGTCTTGAGCACATGCACACCCGATTTGTTGTCTACAGAGACCTGAAGGTAAGGAGGGTACCTACGCCCTCCCCCCGTGACCCCTTTTCTCCGCAGTGGAATCCTGCCCCTTTCTTCCTATCCCTACCTCAGTCCCTGGCAAAGTTGTTCGGTGTGTGACCACTGCAGGGGTGGTACCAGTGGCCAATCCCTGTTGTCACGGTAACCTCAGTACCTGCTAAGGTTCTGGGTGCAGCTCTCATTCTCAGGTCAGGAAGTACACAATAAAGGTGACATTGGTCAGCGTGTGGGGGCGGGGCATTTCCCACTTTGTATAAAATCATGGCTCAGTAGATGCTCACCAAGGAACAGATCTTGCCCTGGTGGTTGGCCGGAGTTTGAGAGGGATAAAGATGGACCGTGAGCCAAGATAATAAGTGATGGGGTCGGTCCTGGATGCTGTGAGACAAGACTGGTTGGAGGGAGGGCTGGTTGTGGATTGCATCTCAGCCTGGAGAACTTCCTGGGGATATCTAGTGGTTCCTCACTGAGTTGGGGTTGACCCTTGAGCTGTGGTCAAGTTACTGTCTTTGCCCCCTGGCTGAAAAGCATTGAATCCGAGTCCTGTGACTTCCCATTCTAGAGGTGTACTTGGCACTGAGCTCCCCATGAAGGAGGGACCTGGGTAGTTGCTGGGTGTGTCCATGGTGACACCCATATATTCGAGATACAGACAGAGGAGAAAATAAAAGGAACTTCTCTGGTTAGGAATTCTATTGCTGTGATAAAACCACCATGACCAAAACCAACTTCAGGAGGAAAGAGTTTATCTTATCTTATAGCTTGTAGTCCATCATACAGGAAATTCAGAGCAAGAACTCAAGCAGGACAGGAACCTGGAGGCAGGAGCTGATGCAGAGGCCATGGAGGGATGCTGCTTACTGGCTTGCTCCCCATGGCTTGCTCAGCCTGCTTTCTTATAGAACCAGGACCACCTGGCCAGGGATGGCTCCACCCACAATGGGCTGGCCCCTCCCCCATCAATCACTAATTAAGAAGATGCCTTTCGGGCTTGCCTACAGCCCAATCTTAAGGAGGTATTTTCTTAATTATGATTCTTTTTTTTTTCTCTTGGATGACTTTAGTTTGTATCAAGTTGGCAAAACAAACAAACACTCCAAAAACAAAACAAAACAAAACAAAAACCCAAGCGAACAAACAAAATTATCAAGGCTAGAGACCCTAGCAGAATAGACACATGTGAGGGACATAACTAACAGCAAGGGTTAACTTGGTGGGGGTGACAGAAAGTTGGCCGAGAAGGTAAGAAAACGCCTGGAGGAAGCGTTTGCCTCCCATTTGCACTTCCCTCCAGAATGATCTGAACACGCAGCGTGGGCAGGAGCAAAGCCGTGTTCCTTTCTCCTGGGTTCTGTAAGGATGTCAGGGGCCTCCCTGTGCAGCCTAGGGTAGCGTGGACCTTGAGCTCCCCCTGCCTCAGCCCCACCCCCCCAAGTGGCAGGGTGACAGACATGCCACCCCGTCCTGCTACTCACAGACCGGTTAGGATCTAGGAAGCGAAAATGCTACGTTTTGGTTTTGAGCACATCGTCTTTTTTTTTTTTTTTTTTAAGAATACTTCTGTGAAATTCAAAGTGTTTGGGGGTTAAAGAATTACTCTCTTAGCTTTCATATGAGAGCATACAGAAAAAAAAATATATATATATTTTAAATTGAACTAGAAATAACTAGATGCTGGTTGGCTCATGGCATGTTAGTTAGTTGGTCATGAATTTTATGAGGAACTGTCAGATATGTGCTGACAGCCTGTGGAGCTGCTGGCCTGCGTCTTAATTTAAGCCCTCGGGATGGCTTTTACCCACCCCTCTGCTGTTTTTGTTTCCTAAGCTATTTAGTAGGCAGTGATGTCATTTAATTCCCGTTCAAATTTAATTCTTGTCACTCATGATTATTCATGTTTCAGTGTTGTAAGAGCTCGCCGTTATTTTTATTTTAGGCAAAACAATAGGTGCCCCACCGCAGAAAGATATTCCTGAGGTGACCGTAGTCAGGTGTGTTTGGCGAAGGCGGTTCCTTTGTTTCTGTGATTGCACTGAGCAGCTCTAATCTGGATGAACATCTCAGTCCCTTCAGAGTCGGGGGGAGGCTGCAGTTGGCAGGGCTCTGGTCAGTGATGGCTGTCCATCAGGACAGGCCTGGTGCTTTGGGATGCTTCCAGCCCTCATCAGCGTTGCAAGTCTCCCTGTCTTGGTCCTCGTGGTCCACAGATGGCATGAAGCCTGTGCCCCGGTCCCCATTGCTCCACCAAAGCTCTTAGCATAATGGGGAAGGCATGCTTTGAGCCCACGGTGGGAGCCCTCCCTCCCTCTCTCCTGGGGTGCCATTCTCTGGTGGGAAGGGCCGTTGCCTCTCTCACTGAAGTCAGCAGAGCGGTGCTGGGCTCACTGTCCTGCTGCCTTGGTTTGAGAACCCCACAGAGTGTCCAGTGATGACTAAGGGGTACATTCTAAAGAGGCCACGTCAACCACGATGACATGATGGTGTAGGGTAGGCCCTGGAGAGATTACGTCGGCGGTGACGAAGTGATGGTGTGGGGCGCACTCTGAGCCGCCCATGCTGGCCGTGATAAAATGAGGGTGTAGGGGGGCATTCTGTGGCAGTCGTGGCGGCCATGATGAAATGATGGAGGGGTGTACCACATGACGCTCCAGCGGCCTCTTGAGGACCATCCAACCTCTTTTCCTTCCAGCCTGCGAACATCCTCCTGGATGAACATGGGCATGTGAGAATATCCGATCTCGGCCTCGCCTGTGATTTCTCCAAGAAGAAGCCACATGCCAGTGTGTGAGTATCGTGGCTGCTGTCTACTGCATTTGCCGAATTTCTGCACCATGGCGCCTATGTCCGGGCAGTACCACCTGGCCGCTGGCATCCCTCATCTCCCTCACCAGCTGGGATTCTCTGTGTTGTATTCAGTGTCAAGGTGATGGGAGTAGAGACAAGAGCAGGGCGGCTTCCTGCCACTGCCTGTGGGGCCTGGCTTGACTCCTGGGAAGCCGAACCTACTCAGGACCAGCTGCTTCATACGAAGGGGTCTGTCCCTGCAGAAGCTGACTGCACACTGCCCATGAAACTCCGGGCGAGTCTGCTCACCTCTTTGACCGTCATTCTCTTCTTCTAGAAAGTAAAGCTTTTATTCCATGGCCAGAGTGTATGACAGAGTCCATGCCCTAGAGAGGCATGTGACGTCTGCCCTGATTTCCCCAGGGAGGGCTCAGGGCTGAATTCCCATCTCCGCCTGCTGCGCTTCTGAGAAATGAGCTGCTGGGAGCCAGCCACCCACTTACAGATCCTGCTGTTAGTCTTGGCAGGTGAAGCAGTTGGCTGCCACAGCCCTTAGGACTCAGACTAGCTTAGTGGTGGCAATGTTAAGCTCAGGTGACCTGGCCTGAGGCCACCCCTAAGTAAAAGTCTTGCCGCAGCTCTGAAGGAGCAGTGAGCCACACTGCCCAACTCTGGCTTTGCTATTTAGTCTCCTTCCAGGTTAAGGGGATAAGGCTGCTGCCATCCAGCCTGACCGCCTGAGTTCAGTGACAGAAGGAGAGCGCTGGCTCCAGTCAGTCATTCTGTGACTTCAAAGCCATGACCCCTACACACAAGCCCCCACAGACACTAAAATAAGTATTAGAATATCTCGGTTTTAGCACCGAGTCTTTACAATTTCACTCTACTGCCCCTCTGAGCATGCGTTCTCCGTGCTAAACGGCCCTGGAGGTAAGTCCCTGGAGTCTCCTTCCATTTGTCCATGTGGAAAATAAACCGCAGACCCTTCCATCGGGTAACTAGAACCGAGGCTGGAGTTATCGTGCTTTATGAGGCCCAGTCTTAAATCAAAACTGCCTTTGAAAGCCTGGTCACACGCTGACGTGCTGATAGTAAACGGCACATAGGCAGGCAGCTCTTTGCAGGGAAGCTGGGACGGAGTGGGGTTACCTGCATTTCCCCCAGGCGGTTCACTGGCCGCTTTTTGAGAGATGCTTTTGAATTTTTAATGGCAGCACTCTTTGGTGTGCTAATGTCTGCAGTTTACTGGGCTGTAACTAAGTTTGAGTAGGGGAGCTTGTAAGAATTCATCTGCCCTGGGCCCCAGCTTAGTAGGGTTGGTTGTTTATCCCACTCACCTGGCCGCCCTGGACCGTCCAACCAGCTCCAAAGGGTGGGCTGTTCTGCCTACTATGCGATAAACTGTATTTGAACTGTGTCTCAACCAATACAGTCACGGGCATGTCCAGGTCCAGAAACCCCTCCCAGCTGTGCCTAGAGGCTTGTCTGCTAGGTGTTCCAGATCCGCCATGTTGACTGCTGACATGGACCATCTCAAATGGCAGTCACAGAGAGGCTGGACTGAGAGACCAGGCTCCTGGTTTAAATGCTGGCACCTGGGCCACCATTTTATGCAGATAAAGGCACAGAGAGTATGCTTTTTTGTGTGTATGTGTGTGTGTGGCTAGGGCTAAATGAAGGCTTTGGAGACACAGACCTGGGTTTGAGTTTCTCCTCCCAGCTCTGTCAGCCCCATTATCTCTCATGCATCAAGAAGAAGATGGCAAGGTTGTCCTTCCATGACAATTTCAGGTATGAGTGTTTATTTCACATCCCCTGTGAGAGAGAAAGAGAGAGAGAGAAGCCATGTGTACCTGATGGACCTGCCAGCTGGCAGAACCCCAGGCAGATAGGGACCACTGGGGTGCTGGGGAATCCGGCAGGACTGGCTGTGCCATGGGCCAGATCTCCGCTGCTTCAGGTGTGCCTAGATAGCTGCTTTCAGTGTAGTATCTGCACAAATCTCCACCAGTTATGGGCGTTGCTATCCACTCTTGACAGTGTGTAGACTAAGGTGCAGCAATATAAAGTCAAGTTGAAGGTGCACAGTAGGGCTAGAATTATTGTCCCTCTGTCCCTCGAAGGTGCTGTGTTCCAGGCAAAGGAAACTCCCCTCCCCCAGGCTTTGATGTCATCGTCTTCAGCGATGAGTCTGGGTTAAGATATGTGTCCAGAACCCCCACCCCCACCCCAAAGCTGGCTTTTCTTTCCTTTGAAGCCACAGCCATGAATCCTGAACGCCATCTCTCGGCCACTGCATCTTCAAGGTGGTCCGAGGTTTCCAGTATGGTCCCAGATTCAGTCCACTGGGCTTCGGGCTCATGGGCTGTGGTCAGCATGAATTTAGCTGCTGAGGAGCCCTGGAAGATGAGAGAGAAACTTCCAGAACTGAGTGCATTGCCAGCCACTAGTTTGAGTCCTTTTTTTACTTCCCGGGGGCAGGACGAGCTTACCTGTGCTTTAGTGTCCTTGCTCGGGATGTTCCTGGATCCCCAGTGGCCCATCTGTGCAGCAGCCCAGCCGTGGGCATCTGGCTGCCATGAAGGCCAGTGAGGGAGCCCCAGTGGCAGCAGCTCTGGCTGACCCCAGAGAACACCGTGCAGACCCCACCCTCGTCAGCTTGTTTGATTTCTTCTAGGGGACATCCTTCCACTCCCAGATTGTGGTTCAGTCCTGGATAAAAAGTCACCTCAAATGGCTTCCAGTCGAGGCCGAAGCTCAGCTTTCCCACAAAGTGTTTTGGAAGCCCTGGCAGAGGTCCCCGATGTTCTCGGCAGAGCTCTCTTCATCCTATGCTGGTGGCTGGTGCAGAGCCGGGCCAGCTACGGTCTGCCAGCACCCATACGATGTGTTACATCGCTCCTCCAAGCCTTCCCCGTGGGCTCCAGTGGTCACTCATGATCTTTCCTGGCCAGGGGTTTCTGAGTCAATCCTTGGTGTGTGCAAGCAAGTCAGCAGCACTTAGCCCTAAGGGTAGGGATGAAGAGGTGCTGAGGGATCATGCATGGGTTCCGTTCACCTCCGGGGCCTTGTGGTGCTGAGCCCTGGCCACGCCTGCATCCCCTTCATCCTCTCACTGACAGAAGCCAGTGAGAGACAGAACAGCTACAGATGAGGGATTTTTTCCCCCCAAGCCTCTTTTTGGTGGTGACATAGAGGCTGCCCTGGGTCCCTCAGGCTCATTTGGGGCATAGTGTGTGTGCCCTTGGGTCTTCACAGACACTCGCCTAGACAGCCAGATTTAGGTGACAGTGGGGTGACAGATACCTCAGCCAAATTTTCCTGACGCCCTCCTCCCCTCCCTGTGTGAACTCGGTGATGTGAATTCATGATGGTTCTCCGCAAGGGTCTCTGTGCAGGGGGTGTGTGCCGAGGCTGGGTCAGCTCCCTCTCAACGTGGGTGAGCGCACTCCTGTGACCCGCTCTCTTCTCTCCCCAGGGGCACCCACGGGTACATGGCTCCCGAGGTGTTGCAGAAGGGCACATCCTACGACAGCAGCGCCGACTGGTTCTCCCTGGGCTGCATGCTCTTCAAGCTTCTGCGTGGGTGAGTGGACTCAGATGCCCTGTCCTGAGGGAACTCGGATCCATTGGAGCTGCCTGGGTGGAGGTTAGCTCTGTGGTGCCTCACATGCCTGGCGCCCTGGGGTCCATCCTCAGCATGGGGTTAGGAAGAGTACCTCCATGTCACGTTAAGCCACAGCTCGGCCTTTAAGCCACGCTGCTGCAGGCAATGGGCACAGTGGCTCCTCCCCTTGTGCTCAGGCCAGCTTCTGCCCCGAGGGCTCAGAGCTCAAAGCCTGTGGCCTCATATTTTGTTCCACGCCATAGGACCCATATGTTTTATACTAGGTCTAAGGTAAAAATAAGACCAAATGTGACAAAGGAAGGCGGCCTTGAAGCGTTTCCGTGGTAGGCCGTGTTCTGGGACTAGGCAACAGTATCAAAATTCGGATGATTGGAAAATGTGGTGTGTCTTCACACACACACACACACACACACACACACACACATACACACACGGCCTATGTGTGTGTGTCTTCTCATGATTCCTGAGCCTCATGCATCTGGGACATTTTGTGAATGAAAGAGCCAAAGTAACCCTGCCTGAAAATCTGGCGTTTCTCTGTGAGCCTGCCGTAGCTGTGTCTCTGAAGCTGGCCCTTCAGGTAGACTGAGTGCTAGGCTACACAGATATCAGTTGGGTGGGCGTCAGAGGAATGCACCTCAAGAAGTGGTCTCACACTGGGACAGCTTCTGGGACTTTCTAGATGCTTCTGCTGGTTTTAACTGGGAGCTTGATTCTAGTGGAATCCAGGTACGCTCTTCATTCTCACTAAAAAAAAAAAAAAAAAAAAGAAAAAAAAATCTAAGATGGAGACTCACTTTCTATCCAGATTTCTCTCTTATCAGTTTCCCAGTAGCCTGGCCCCACAGGCTGCTGAGGGCTCGCTGCACCCCTGGGGAAATTCGTTGAGTGCACTGTCGCTGTCATATATTCTGTCTGAGGGGCCATTGAACTCTACAGTTCCCCGGACTTGGCTCCAAGTACAACTCACTACGTCCTGGGTGCTTCCGTAATTTAATTCCACCGAGCCCGGCGTATTCCCCGAGGATCTAAAATCGTATTACGGCTGAGAAAGCCAGGTCTGTTATTCAGTAATTGTATTAGTGGTACCATGTTGGTGGAGCCAGGCGCCCTGTGTTCGTGTTGGCAGACTAGCTGACCTGATTAGAGTTTATGCAGAGGCAGCCAGAGGAGGCCATTTCCTAGGAAGAATCCCTTCCATCCTGCCCACTGCAGTAACCGCAGGGTCAGGGAGACCCCAAGGAGACCCCCCAGGTCCCTCTGGGGATCTGAGCTTCCAGAGCCCAAGTTGACTCACAGGACAGCCAAGCTGTCTGGATACAAGAGCTGCCAATAAGGTACCCCAGGGAAGCAGCACAGGCCCGACAAAGCTGGCATTTGCTTCTTTGTTGCCATCCCTAAACTGCTGGTAAACAGTCCATGCTTGTAGTCTGGAGGGGGTCTGCGATCAGACGGCTTTGTGTCTAGAGACTCAGGAGGGGCTTGTCCAATTACCACCTCTGCCCTCAGCAACTGCGGTTGGTGCAGCCTGGACGAGATTAGTTTTACCCAGCTGCAGCTCAGTCTCTGAGTCCATGCGAACGGGAAAACAAAGTCCTTGGCAGAGTCCTTCATCTCCTGAGCTGGGAGGTTTTTTGTCACCGATGGAAGGCCTCTCAGGATGGCCCTAGGGACAGTTGTGGAGACAGAGCTGGGAGCCAGAGAGTGGGCATAGCTCAGGTAACTGCACTGCTTGAGAGGAGCAGCTCTCTGAAGGCTTGGTTCAGACAGGGAAGAGATCAGCCTGCTGAGATGGCTCAGCAGGTGAAGACACCTGTCACCAAGCCTGAAGACCTGAGTGTACCAGGGCCACGTGGGGGAAAGAGAGAGCCGACTCCTGAAAGTCGTCCTCTGACCTCAACACCCCTCAATGCACACATGCATGCCTATTCGAGCACACACACACACAAAGAGGTAGGGGGGAATGAGTGTAAAAGGGGATGAGACTGAAGACAGTTCATCCATCGTGTAAGACTCTGTTATATGTACAGCCATGCAAGCTTCTATGCCCAAAGGAGTGTTACATCTTCTCCATGGCCAGTTCCTGGTCACTGAATGGTTCCTGAGCCTGGAGAAGGAATTTTAGCCATGTCTGGCAGATGACCTTTGATGCAGCCTCCCCGCCAAGCAAGATTCAGGTCTCAGACCACTCTGGTACTTGCTCAAAAGCCCTTCCAGGCAGCAGCATGGCACTACAAGCAAAGACCAGGAAATGAGTTCCAACTCCGGAGATTTAAGCCTGATAAACATTTATTGAGTACTTAAAGCTCACGAGAGCCAGCGCCTGGTGCCGGGGAGGATGGCTGTGGGAGGAGGGGGGGGAAGGAAGACAGGGGAAGGGGAAGCTCCTCACAGTCCCCAGAGCTAAGGAGCTCAGAAATGAGAAACCCGTTCTGGCTTGGCCAGGTGAGGTGACCTTGTGCAGGAGACGGGGCCCTCGGGATGGAGGTGTTGGAGGGACAGATACAGTTCCCCCTTGGGGCCCAGTCAGTGTTCACCACGTCTCTGTCAGGGAGTGTTGAGGAAGCCGTGGAGACCCAGGCGCTCTTCCGTGTGTGCTACGGAGCTGTGTTTCCTGGGGTCGGGGCCTGGGGGCTTGTAAACAAAGGGCTGACAGGGCCATGTGATCTTTAGGATGATGATTCTGGAGGCAGCATAGAGTGTCAGCAGTGCAGGGACACAAGCGAGAGGTCCACGGGGTGGCTCTGTGTGCCTCAGCTGCAGTGGGAAAGGATGCCAGGGACACAGCAGTGCCATACAGCCCGAATAGACAGTGCAGGATCATCCACCCCCCCAACACACACACACACACACACACACACACACACACACACACACACACA